ATGGGGCGATACATGTTTAAATGCCTTTTGAAGTCCAGGCGCGGTGGCTCATGCCTGTAATCTCAGCACTTTGGGAGCCTGAGGCGGGAGGATCGTCTGAGGTCAAGAGTTTGAGAGCAGCCTGGCCATCATGGTGAAACCCCATCTCTGCTAAAAATTAGCCAGGTGCGATGGCATGCACCTGTAATCCCAGCTACTCAGGAGGCTGAGGCAGGAGTACGGCTTGAACCCAGGACGTAGAGGATGCAATGCCACCGCAGTCCAGCCTGGGCAAAAGAGCCAGACTCGATTTCCAAAGAAAAAAAAATACATGTGTGTGCCCATGCACACACACACCTTTTGAATAAACAATTCAAGAGGTAAAAAACAAAACAGAAGAAAATGATGTTTTTAACACTCAGAGTAGAGACAGACTTCCTTAACAACCTGCAAATCCAAAGAGCCTTAGGAAATGATGGCAAATATGTCAGAAACTGTGAAATTTATGGGCAGAAAAATGCCACAAACTAAGTGAAATAAACTGTAAAAAAAAAAAAAAAAAAAAAAAAAGTATTGGCCATATGTGGAAAATGCTACTTCATTCATAAAAAGCACTGTTGTCCGGGTGCAGTGGCTTGCACCTATAATCCCAGCACTTTCGGAGGCCAAGGCAGAAGGATCCCTTGTGTCCAGGAGTTCAAGACCAGCCTGGGCAACATATTGAGATCTCATTTCTATTTTATTTTTTTAAAGCACTGTTGCATAAAAAAAAGACCCATATCCTAGAAAACCAAGAAAAAGATATGAAACAGAAACCTTCTGGAGAATGAAGCTCTTCCCCGTCACTTGTAAGAAATATGTAAACAGTATGGTTTTGAGCAAGGCACCATGGGAAGCCCCGCCCACAAGAGACTGCACATTGGGCTGGGGCTCAGCAGCACCAGGGCAGAGGCACAGCAAAGTGGGGGCTGCCACTGCCAAGGTTCAAGTGGGTGCATGTTCCCCACTCGCCAGCATAGGCTGCTGCCACTGGCAGCAAGGTCACAGCACAACTGCTGTTACCTCCCATGCAAGCATTCCACCAGAGACCTGGGGAACTGCCCCTCCCCACCTACCACAGGAAATGCCCTCATACACCATCGAGGGACCTCAGAACAAGCCTGCCCAGCCAGAACACACAATCTGGACAACTAGGGACAGCCCAGCCAAGGCCACCGCTGTTGGGACCTGAGCACTCTTCCCAGACTACTAAGGTTGGGTTCACCCATCCTGGCACTACCTGTACTAGTTGGCATCCACCTGCATGTGCCATCTGTGGGCCTGGAGACTGGTCCACCCAGCCCATCATAGCTACCACCCACCACCAGCATACAGTACTAGGGACCTAGAGGGTCACCCTGCCATTCCCACTGCTATCTCCCTGCCACATTGGCTGCCCAGGGGCCCAAGAGCCCACGCACCCAGCCCACTGCTGCCACTTAGCATCCAAGCAAGCCATCCTCAACAAAACAGTGTCAAACTGAATCCAACAGCACATTTAAAAAAAAAAGGCCAGGTGTGGTGGCTCACACCTGTAATCCCAGCACTTTGGGAGGCCGAGACAGACAGATCACTTGAGGCCTGGAGTTCAAGACTAGCCTGGCCAACATGGTGAAACCCTATCTCTACTAAAAATACAAAAATTAGCAGGATGTGGTGGTGGGTGCTAGTAATCTCAGATACTCGGGAGGCTGAGGCATGAGAATCATTTGAACACAAGGCACAAGGGGCAGAGGTTGCAATAAGCTGAGATCATGCCACTGCACTCCAGCCTGGGTGACAGAGCAAGATTCCATCTCAAAAAGCAAAACAAACCAAAAATAATACACCATCATAAAGTGAGACTTATCTCAGTTATGCAAGGATGCTTCAACATGCAGAAAGTAGTGAGGTCACAGTGAAAAGGTCACAGCACAACTGCTGTTATGGGATACATAACGTTAATAACGTAACTCCATGGAATACATAACGTTAATAACGTAACTCCATGGAATACATAACGTTAATAACGTAACTCCATGGGATACATAACGTTAATAACGTAACTCCATGGGATACATAACGTTAATAACGTAACTCCATGGGATACATAACGTTAATAACGTAACTCCATGGGATACATAACGTTAATAACATAACTCCATGGGATACATAACATTAATAACGTAACTCCATGGGATACATAACGTTAATAACGTAACTCCATGGGATACATAACGTTAATAACGTAACTCCATGGGATACATCACATTAATAGAATGAAGGACAAAAACCGTATTAGATATGATCAATTGGTAAACTGATGCAGAAAAAGCATTTAATAAAATATGACATTCCTTCCTGAGAAAAGCTTTCAGCAAACTAGACAGAAAGGACAGACCTCAACATAATAAAGACTATCTATGACAAACCTGCAGCTAATATCATCCTGAATGAAGAAAAGCTGAAAGCCTTTCCCTAAGAACTGCAACCAGACAAGGATGCCCACTTGTACCACTCCTATTCAACACAGTATTGGAAGTCCTGGCCAGAGCAATCGGGCAAGAGAAAGAAATAAAAGGGCTCCCAACTGGAAAAGAAGAATTCAAATGTCCCTTTTTGCTGATGATGATCTTATATCTAGAAAAACCTGCAGACTCTATCAAAACGTTTATAATCTCATAAATTCAGGAAAAGTTACAGGATGCAAAATCAACATAAAAAAGTCACTGTTTCTATATACCAACAATGGGATATCTGAGAAAGAATTCAAGATGACAACCCCATTAACAATTGTTATATATTTTTTTAAAAAACCCTATTGATCATCTTGTTTGTAAAAAAATTTTTTTTAATTAAATTTTTTAAAAACCTAGGAATAAATTTAACCAAGGAGGTAGATAAATGATCTATACAAGGAAAACTACAAAGCACTAATGAAAGACATTGACGAGGACACAAACGAATGGAAAACAGCCCAGGCTCGTCGGTCAGAACTAATACCATTAAAATGACCATACTGCCCAAAGCCACCCACACACTCAATGCAGTCCCTATCAAAGTATGTCATTCTTCACAAAATTCAAAAGAAATCCTAAAGTTTATATGGAACCGAAAAAGAACCCGAGTAGCCGAAGCAATCCTGAGCAAAAAGAACAAAATTGCAGGCATCACACCACCTAACTTCTAAACCTAACTTCTAGTTACAAGACTATGGTAACCAAAATAGCATGGTAATGGTTAAAAAAAAGAAAAGACATGTGGACTAATGGAACAGAACAGAGAAACCAGAAACAAGTCTGTGTATCTACAGCCAAACTGTGTTCAACAAAGGTGCCAAAAACATCCACTGGAGCAAGGACAGTCTATTCAATAGACGGTGCTGGGAAAACTGGGCATCCACACACAGAAGAATGAAACTGGACCCCTATCTCCCACCATATACAGAAACCAACTGCAGATGGATTACAGATTTAAATTTAAGACCCAAAACTATAAAACTACTCAAAGAAAACAGGGAAAATACTTCAGGAACCCAACAATTTAAAAATAAATAAGCCCATTAAAAAGTAGACAACAGACATGAACAGACATTTCTCAGAAGAAGACATACAATGGCCAAGAGCTATATATATATATAGATATATATGAGAAGAGCTCAATATCCCTATGTATCATACAACCCAGCAACCGCACTACTGAGTATTTATTCAAAGGAAATCAGTGTGTCAAAGGGATACCTGAGCACTCACCTTCTCTGCAGCACTATTCACAACAGCAAAGATATAGACACAACGGAATGTCCACCAATGGTTGAACAAAGAAAATGCAGCACATACCATCTCATGCCACTTGGCATGGTGATTATTAAAACCTTAAGAAACGAGATGCTGGTGAGGTTGTAGAGGGATATGAATGCTTTTCCACCATTGGTGGGAATGTAAATTAGTTCAACCATTGTTGAAGACCGTGTGGCAATTCCTCAAAGATCTAGACTCAGAAATACCATTTGACCCAGCAATCCCATTACGAGGTACATACCCAAAGGAATATACATCATCTTATTACAAAGATACATGCACACATATGTTCACTGCAACACTATTCACAGTAGCAAAGACATGGTATCAGCCTAAATGCCCATCAATGATAGGCTGGATAAAGAAAATGTGGCACATATATACCATGGAATACTATGCAGCTGTAAAAAAGAACAAGATCATGTCCCTCTTCTCACTTGTAAGTGGGAGCTGAACAATGAGAACACATGAATGCAGGGAAGGGAACCACACACTGGGGCCTGTTAGTGGTAGGATGGGGGAGGGAGAATATTGAGAAAAATTATGAATGAATGCTGGCTTAAAACCTAGGTGATGGGTGGATGGGTGCAGCAAACCACCATGGAACACATTCACCTATGTAACAAACCACATCCTGTACACGTACCCAATAACTTAAATTTTTTTAAAAAAGAAAGAAAACGGGGTACATATATACCATGGAATACTATTTGGCCATAAAAAGTGAAATCACGTAATCTGCAGCAGCAATGGATGGAACTGGAGGTCAGTAAGTGAAAAAGCCAGATACAGAAAGTCAGTCTGCATGTTCTCACTGACGTGTGTCAGCTAAGAAAACAAGTGGACATCATGGACGCCGAGAAAAGAATGACAGATACTAGAGGATGGCAGGGACATACGGGTGGGAGAGAGGGACAAGAGATGTTAGTTAGTGCGTACAAACACAGTTAATAGAAGACACAAGTTCTCACGTTCCACAGCAGCGTGGGTGACTACAGCTGGCAGCAACACACGGGGGTTTCAGTCGCTACAAGAGAAGACTTGAAATGCTTGGGATGTGGAAATGATACTCAAGATGACGGATACCCCCAAATACCCTAACGTGATAGTTACACATTCTACGCGTGTAATGAACACGTGCACCCTGTAAGTATGTTAAATATGATGTATCAACAAAATAAATTACAGTTTTTGTCTATCAGGTTAAAAAAAAACATATTTTAATATAGTGTTGCTAAAAATACGGCAAACAGGCACTCCGGTATATTAAAGAGCATAAACTGAGCTCAAGAGGTTTCTTGGTTCATCCATATCTAGACAGAAGGCATTCACCTCTCAATCCAGCAGTTCCAAGAGTTGATCCCACCGACACCATCACACGAAGACATACATAAAGGACATTCACGACAGTGATGATTAGCTTCAAACAAAATGTTCCCCAGCTGGGGACGGTGCAATGCTAGGCCCGAGAGAGCATGTGTGTGGGTCAATCATGCGGTCCATAGACAAGAGGGAGGCACGTGGGTGGATACGGACCTCCCGTTACAAAAGAAAGCAAGGGACCCATCAGTGTGTAAAACACGGTAACACTCAGGTGTGCCCCAAGTCACAGGGAGACCTGAGTGATTTTTGCATCAGTGCCTTTACCTCTCAGGAGGAAAAACAGCTGGAGAAGAGGCAGGAGGATGACTGTTTTTTCAAGTTATATCCTTTTATCTTTTTATTCTAAACCAGATCTACAACTTTTTTTTAAAACATAGGGTCTTGCTCTGCTGCCCAGGCAGCAGTGCAGTGGCACAATCACAGCTCATAGCAGCCTCGACCTCCTAGGCTTAAACAATCCACCCATCTTAGCCTCCCAAGTAGCTGGAACCACAGGCACATGACACCACACCCTGCTAATTTTTGTATTTTTTTTTTTTTTTTTTTTTTTTGTAGAGACGGGTTTTTGCCATGTTGCCCAGACTGGTCTTGAACTCCTGGGCTCAAGCAATCTGCCTGCCTCAGCCTCCCAAAGTGTTGGGATTACAGGAGTGAGCCACCCCACCCAGCCTTTTTTTTTTTTTCCTTGAGATGGGATTTTGTTCTTGTCGCCCAGGCTGGAGTGCCATGGCATGATCTCGACTCACTGCAACCTCCACACCTCCCGGGTTCAAGAGATTCTCCTCCCTCAGCCTCCTGAGTAGCTGGGATTACAGGCATGAGCAACCACGCCTTGCTAATTTTGTACTTCCAGTAGACACAGGGTTTCTCCATATTGGTCAGACGAGTCTCAAACTTCTGACCTCAGGTAAGCCACCTGCCTCAGCCTCCCAAAGTGCTGGGATTACAGGCATGAGCCACTGTGCCCAGCCCCAGCCCTTTTTTTTAATTAAAAAATATGGTGGGGAAAAGAGTAATAGCTTGCAATGTGATGATTGTTTATAATAGTTTGCAATGTGGACAATATTTTTTAAAACCTCTTCTAGCACTTTCTAGGGCCCTGATAAGTGTTCACTTGGAGGGAGACCTCTGTCCTTAGAACCTAAATTCTCATTTGTTTCACAAAAGAACAAACTATCCGATTGTACAAACTAGAATTGCAAGTTTCTCAGAGCCAGGTAAGGTATTGTGAGGTCCACTGGTCCCATGCCCGCACATACCCTAAAAAGGTTCGTGTGGTCAGAGGCAGAACCATGCACCGAGAGAGGCCCACTGAGAGGGCTGCATCCCCAGGTCCCCAGCCTGGGCCAGTGCCCTCTTTCTCTAAGTTTGCTGTCTGGAAGCAGGTGCACCTGTGATCTGCGCTCTCGTCAGAACAAGCTTAGGGCAGAAAGCATGTGAGCAGACAGTGATAACCTCTGCAGCAGCCCAGGCAGAGGCAGCAAAGAGCAGTAGTCAAGGCACAGACACTGACAGACCTTTACCTGTTTTAACTTTTTAACTGAGGTGTCATAGTGGTTTAACAGTGAGGTATTTAATTGTATTTTTATAAAAAAAAAAAAATTCCAGAACAAAGTGACAATAGGGACCTAATTCTTTAGACTTACGTAGAGATGTCTGAGATCCTAATGCTCTGTACCTGCTAACCTGTCAGGAAGAGCACAACATTCCCCACAAGCCATGAAAAACCAGCTAAGGAAAATCAAGCACGACTAAGTCCTTGTCTGCACCAGGCTCCTGCCCCTCCACATGCTGTCTGAGCACGCACTTTTCTTTTGAAGGCCGATTTACGAGGCCTTCTGCCTGAGTCAGGGGTATTGCTAATGGAAGGTCTGATGAAATTCCTTGTAGAAAATGCAGAACGTGCAAAATACAAACAGCTCAATTTACTAAATTACAAACAGCCCAATTTACTATGGCTTATAATCAAGGCAAACTATATAACAGAGGTCATATTTTCATCAGAGATGAAAAAGGTCAAAGCTTACGGCAAAAGACAAAAGGAAGAGGTATGTACCTCAGAGACAAGCTCGCAGTGCCTTTAAGTGGGGAATTCTCGTGGCCAACTGGTGACTCACCATGTGTTGTTTTCCAGACGTGGGTAGATGGCAGCTCTGCTGACCCAACAACCCACCTACGTGATCTTCCGCATTTCAGGATCACTGGAGCTTGTTTTAAAGTGAGTCTACACTGCTGAATTTCCCATTGCTGCATCTCCCTCGGGAGCAGACCTGGGTAAACGGCTGTACTGACGGCTGTGACTCAGGCACTGGTTCCCGGAGCTCCAGAACCCAGGCCAGCATGGAGACCCAGACGGCTGTGACTCAGCCACCGGTTCCCAGAGGTCTGGAACTCAGGCCAGTTACTCACCACTGATTTACGGGGTGGACCACTTATGTATTTATCAATCAAGCTCCCGAACTTGGGGCGCCCAGGGTCCCTCGCCTTGAAGTTAGCAAGACCACAGCTTTGCTTCTCTGCAGACAGATCTCCCAACTTCCCCATCTGATCATGACACAGATTGATTTAAAAGCAGCAGAGAGGTTGGGTGCAGTGGCTCACACCTGTAATCCCAGCACTTTGGGAGACCAAGGAGGGTGGATCACCCGAGGTCAGGAGTTTGAGACCAGCCTGGCCAACATGGCAAAAATCCGTCTCTACTGAAAATAGATAAAAATTAGCCAGGCATGGTGGTGCGTGCCTGTAATCCCAGCTACTGGGGGGCTGAGGCAGGAGGATCACTTGAAACTGGGAGGTAGAGGTTACAGCGTGTCACTGTACTCCATCCTGGGCAACAGAGCGAGATGCCATCTCAAAAAAAAAAAAAAATGGTGGAAAGAAAAGCAGGCTGAGAGAACTGGGCGTGGAACCTTAATTACAAACACCTTCTGAGGACTCATGCCAGCACCAAACCATGTTACCTCAAAGTCTCCCACCTCCATTTCCCCATTTTAAACAGTTCATGCTTTTAAATACAGAACTCCCATGCCCTTGGAAGCTGTCCCTAGAAAGCGCTGAGATTCTCATCCAGATGCCTCTGTCCCTTACCCGTCACAACAGACCATCAGGGCCCCTTCTAACAGGGATGGCCTGAGTGAGGCTATATGAACCCTAGTGGGAGGAACCCCCTCCTCCATAGAGAGAAGTTTCGCTCCCAACAAATGCTAATGCCAGCAGAATTCCCTAATCCCAGCAGAATTCCCTAATGCCAGCAGGGGGTCTGAAAGGTCTCAGCTGCTTAGGATTTCATTGGCAGAAATGAACAAAGCATAAGATTCAGTTACTAATTTGACACGTAAGATTTCTGGGAGAGGTCCTGAGAGTGACCCTGTATGGCAAGAACGAACATAAACATCCATTTCTGGGAGATAAACCCATCAGTCAGGACATGGCTTCAGAGGGCATTTTCTTGGCACATCTGGGACTACTTGGTTATGACCTGGATGGCTCTCTATTGCAGTTAAACCATGGGGGAAGGAAGAGGGACCGCAGGCAGTGCCCTCTACCCAGAAGAATCCAGATTCTGGTTCCAAGAAGGCTCAGGCGGCTCCTCACTCATCATCCAGGACTTCCCGGAGCCCTTCACTGTGTCGCGACCGCCCACTAATCTCCAGCAGGGCCTGGGCCTCGGGGTCTGCATCCAGGATGCTCTTGTTGCCCTTGGCCTTGAAAAGAGAAGAAAGGTTGGGTGTGTTCTGTGATGGCCCCAACAGGCAGCGGCTTCCTGCTCGTTTTCCAGCCTTCTTGGACTCTGGTTCCCCAAGACCCCTCCCACTCTGGGATTCAATGGTTGGGTGGGTAGAAGGTGTTACAGGAGGGTCAGGGGCCAACAGCAACTCAGGTGTGGAACCAGGGAAGGAGAAAGAACCCCAGACCTTTCTCCTCTTGCAGATGGGCAGAGAGAATGAAGAACCCTCTGGGCTCACGTTTGAGGATGCCCCACTTCCCAGGGCTGCTCCAGTAAGCCACCCAGGAATCCCAGCCATGCATCTCCCGGGATCCAAGCCAGCACCAGCTGCCAGGATCAAATTTGGGATAAACTATCTGCAGGCAGAAGAGTAAAGCGGGTAATGGCAAGAAAATGCAGAAAGGCCCCCAGGCTCAAGGTGCCATCATGGGATGGAGAGGATGGCACCACTCACCATCTGCGCCTCCGAGGGGTCTCCGACTGCCCACACCTCCATCTTATCAAACTGGAAGTTCTCCTGGGCCGACAGCTGCGGGCTGTTGTATGTGGTACACGTGGGCTTGGCTCTGCTGTGTCCTTTCCCGAAATCAACATCCACCCAAAGCCCAAAGTAATTGTGCTGCCCCCCCATGCCCTGTGAAGGAAGCCAGGACAGAGAACAGCATCAGCAACTCCTCAGGTCTGCGACATCAAATACCATGAGCCAGCCTCTCATCTTGAGTGCCAGCTAAGACAGGGCGGGTGAGTGGTGAATGCAATCATCTTGTTTTCCCTAACTGTAAAATATATCAATTGCTGCCATTTACGTATCCCATGCCAAGTCACTACCACAGTCATCCATGGCTCCAGACGCCCACCCCATGGCTCTTTCTCAAGAGGCTTTGCTGGCTGCAAGCCCAAGTGACGCCAGAGAATTAAACATATTAAGTATATAAATACAGAAAGAGACCTCTAGGGCCCAGAGCCCTGCCCAGTTAAGATAAGGGGAGAGGCAGACACAGAAACTGACATGGCAAACCCCGTGTCGGGGCCCAGTGCCCCCCACTTCCGGGCAGCGATCCTCATCCTAAGACAGCCTGGGAAACTCAGCTCCGAGCGTGTGGCTTACAGGATGCAGAGGCAGACCCAGAGGCGGACGCAAACCCCTGTGCCTTTCACCCCCAGTCACACACCTGGGCTCTGAGCTGTCCAACCTTGCGCCACCCAGAACCTCCTCTGGTCCCTGGTAGGCCTGGAACACCTGGCACACCCTGGTTCTGACTTTGGGCAAAAAAAGACCCGAGCACACTGTGTGGAGTTGACACTCAGAGCTGCTCTGTCCCTTGGGGTCAATGACAAGTGATGACCAGGGCCTGCTGGGTGCTGCCTGTGAGGCTGGCACCCTCGCTCCAGCCGCCACCAGACTGCCCTTTCCAGAAGGTGCCAGGTGTTCTAGGTGGTCTGGCCACACCCCTCCCTCTCCCCAGCGTGGTGGTGTGTTGAGCCTGGGAAAGACACTGGTCCCTTTAGCGGACCAAGGGGGGACCAGCCTTCTCTGCCCTCAGCTCTGTACACAGAGCTAGATTTTCCCAACAAGAGCTTTTCATCAAGCAGCAGAGGAAAGGAGCTGGCAGGAGCAAGCTGAGCCTCGGCATGAATGCTCCCGCAGCTCCTGCCCTCAGCCCTGCCTGGACCGTGTTCACCCTGCTCCCTGCACCTGGCCTAGGTTTCCCCCACTTCCCCTTCTTCCTGTGACAAGTCACCAAGCTGAAGTGAGGACTGGACAGGAGCCATGGTCACCCCCACTGGGGCCTCACATGCTGTCTCATGAGCTGCTAGCTGTCCAATCCCCACAGTCCCGTCCCCCATGGTCCAGTACTCCTAGGTATGTAGGTATGAGGCAGGCCAGCAATGCCCCTGGACAGGTTATCCCTAGCCACAGGGGCCACAAACCAGTCATCTGAGGGCCAGAAAAATGGGCCAAGTGTGCCATCTGCACACAAAGCACTGAGAAGCCCCAGCAGAGGCCACGTTCTTCTGGAGGCAGAAGGACGTGTACATGGCACGTGTGAGGAGCTGAATGCCATGTGCTCTGCCCTGATCCATGGAGCTGAGCCTCAGGGTCAACAGCTTCATGGGGGTACATCACCAAGGCGAGACCAGCATGCTCTGCCCAGCCTCACCAGTCCGTTTGGGATCGTCTGCTGTCCATGGTTCAAGTACATGTAGTGGTCGTTGTAGCCCGTGTGTGTGTACACGGCCATGCTGGGGCAGATGGAGAACAGGAAGCATCTGTTGTCCCCTGAAAGTGACCAGAGAGCAAAACAAACGGGATCGGTGTCCGAGTTGGGCCCAGAGAGCCGGAAATGCTGGTGAGCTGCAGCTCAGAAGCAACGTGGCCAAGACCCCTCACCCATGTCCAGGTGTCAGCAGACCAGGGGTTAGGACAAGCTGCTGGGGACCCAGGTAGATGAACAGGGGGTGCGGGGATTAGAGGACAGCTAATAAGGAATGGGACATCGTTTAGCTCTGGCCAGAGGAGCAGAGATCAGAACTGCCCTTTCCAGAGGTGCCAGGTGTTCTAGGTGGTCTGGCCACACCTCTCCCTCTTCCCAGGGTGTCTGCTGTAATCAGTTAAGGCTAGCCAAGCACATACAAGCCTGAAAGAAACAGCTTCCTTTAGCTTAAGAGTGAAGGGCAAGCGGTCACTCCACAGAGCCTACCCGAGCAGGCGGGTGACACTGCATAGGGCTGTCCCCAGCCTGAAACAATGTAGCATGCCCCGGGGGCACAGCCTGGGAAAGGTGCTTGTCTACCCTCGCCCACACGTGTGAGCCGCGCACATAGGCCATTAAAAGACAAGTACCAGTCAAAACTCCGGAAACTATGGGGTCCTCAGTCTCAGAGACTCCTTCACTCCATAAGTACCTCAGCACTAAGGAGAAGGCTGGAGGCCAGGCCTCGCCCTCAGGGAGCTCCCAGCAGGGGGGCGCTTCCCTCCAAGTTTTGAGGACTTAGCCAGAAGGGCTGCCTGCCTCGACACCAGCATGCACAACTGTCACAACAACCAGAAAAGGCTGCAGAGAAGCAAGCTCGTGGGAATTTGGGATTGGGCTACTCATCAGGTGGGAGAGAAGTCACAGGAAGCAAACTGGGGGCACAATGCAGGAACGCAGATCAGAAGAGGGCACCCACACCCAAAGGCCGGAAGAGGACAGCGGCCTGAGCAAGCCAGCAGGGCCCGTAGAGTGCAGGCTGACGACACCCCCGGCCTCCAATCCAGACAGATCCCTGGGGAGCCTCTGCCATCAGGGAGGCTTCTGGGAGGCCACTTCGAAGGTCAAGAGGAGGCCCTGAAACAGAGCTGGTTGGGGCAAGAGCCCCATGGAGAAGGGATCCCTGAGGACAAGGTGCGGGACAGGTAGGGACAGCGGGGCTTCAGAGCGTCAGGTGCAGGAAGGAGGGCCATTAGGCTAGAAAGTTCCACCGGAACCAGGTAAGAGAAGGGCTTGACTCTGGGCTACAGACTCAGGCTGTGGCTTCACTGGGCTTCAGCAGCCCCAGTGGGTCGAGGGCAGGTTTAGACACCACCGTGAATGGCTCGGTCATAACTGACTGCACTGACCCCGCCCCACCCTCCCGTACTGGACTTCAGACAGGTGGCCCTTTGCTTTGTAATTCTAAGCCTGTTATGCTTTGAAGCAAGGTCACAGGGCCACAGAGTTTAGGCCTTGGCTGTGATGGGTCCAGATTCTAGTCCACCCCCAGGGCTGTTCTCCATAGGGAAGGCCAGGTGGGGGAAGCATCATTCCCCAGGATACAGGGCAACGACCTGAGGAGTTAGGATTATCTACAAAAAAAAATAGTCACGCCCACAGTAAGCGCTCCTATCTCATTCCGGTAAAACAATACTCAACCATGCCGCCCTCGCCACCTGGCGCCCAGCTGCTGAGTAGCTGCCTGCCCACACAGCATGGTTTTGTATAATTCTGGGGAACTGAGGCCCAGAAAATTAAACAGTCATCTTGCCCAGGGTCAGAGCTAGGACTCAAAACCCTGTGTTCAATCCAAAGCCGTGGGCCTTTTCAACTACTGCACAGAAAACACAAGCAAAAAGGTTCTAAGTATAATACATTCTTCTTTCCTCAAATAAAAATACTCTGATGAAAACATTCCTTTAAAAATCTTGACAAAGCCACATCACCCTGCAGTGAACAGTCCTCTGTACTCAAGGAGGGAGCCGCCCTCCCCAGCATTTGCTTTCACTGTTTGCCCCACAGCAATTAAATCACTTCAAGTCTCAGACTTTACAGGTCACTATTTCCAGGACAAGTGGACAGCACCCTCTCTGAACTTGACCCAAAGTCCATGGATTTGTACCTGCGTGGTGTAAGGCTGCCCTCTGCTGTTATTTCATGAGTATGGACACAAATAACCTCAGGTTTGAAAACTTGGCCACTGTCTTTTTTCCACATGCTCAGGAAGATTAAGCCTGCTTGTTAATAAAACATGAAGAATCCATCTGAAATTAACAGGAAAGGCTCTGAAGGTAGCGACAGCTTTAACTTGATCATGATGCTCAGGGTTTTTTCATATCCTACAGCTGAGCCTTCGGCCAGGCAACAAGGCAGAGCGACATGTCATTTCCCCAGAGCCTGAGGCTGGTGGGCACATGCCCCATGCCCGTGACACGGAGGCAGGGAGAGCTGGGTGTACAGAAGACAGTGGCCATGGCAAGGCTGAGGCTGCTATCTCTAGAAAGGCCCACTGCAGGGCTGGCCCTGGACTTGCACCCGGAAGCTTTGATTTGGGGAAGGTTCCCAACATTCCCAGAACTAAGATAAAGATCTAGAACATCCTGAAACCTAGAAATAAATCAAACCCTAGAAACAATGGGATCTAGGAGACAGAGGCAGCCAACCCCTACTCGATGATCCCTCCTACCTGTCCCAGCCAGTTGCCACCCAGCCTCTGCTAAAAGCTCTCCCGCAATGGCAGTGCCACCTGGACACACTTCCTGGCATCCAGAACCTCTGCCTGGTAGAGACGATGACGATTCCAGAGGTGTGGGGTAAGATACAGGATGTACAGGGCGAAGGCAAACCCTGGGGATGGTGGCCCAACCTCGAGTACGGAGGACAGCCCACTGATGGGCGGTGCATCTAAACACTTCAAAAACTTATTATTTATTTATTTAGAGACAGAGTCTTGCTCTGCTGCCCAGGCTGGAGTGCAGTAGCACCATCTACACTTACTGCAACCTCCATCTCCCAGGTTCAAGCGATTCTCATGCCTCAGCCACCCAAGTAGCTGGGATTACAGGCATGCGCCACCATGTCCAACTAATTCTTGTACTTTCAGTAGAGACGGAGTTTCACCACATTAGCCAGGCTGGTCTCAAACACCTGACCTCAAGTGATCCACCTGACTTGCCCTCCCTAAGTGCTGTGATCACAGGCTTGAGCCATGGCGCCCAATCTTATTTTTTTTTAAAGACAGAGATGAGGTCTCGCTATGTTACCCATGCTAGTCTCAAACTCCTGGGCTCGAGTGGTCCCTCAGCCATGGCCTCCCAAAATGCTAGGATTCCAGGTGTGAGCCACTGCGCCTGGCCTATGTTTGTAAATGTTTTTCAATAACCATTTTCATCAGAGTATCCTTCCTTGATGGAAGAAGAATTTACTTAGAACCTTTTACCCAGTGCATTCAAGATCATGCAGAAAGCTTCCAAAATCCAACCAGCAAACACCAGTTGGGGCGGGAGCAGGGGCAGGGGTGGGGGTTGGGGGCGAGGGCAGAAAGCCCAGGGAAAGAAAATGTCCGATCTGAACCAATCAGCATCTCCTGGACCCTTCCCCACAAGGCATCTTCTCCCGCCCCCTAAAGACCTGGTGCCGTGTAATAACAGGGCCTGTGTTCTCACCTGAAAACTGGGAGTCACAAGTCCTGTCCTGAAGAACTATGATGCCATAACCACCACAAAGAAGCATCACATTTTCCTATTGCCCCAAATGTGTCTAGAGAAACACTTGGAGAGGATGGGAGAACTCTATTTAGCAGCCCCACCCTCTCCCTTTCTCCAGAGCTCTTTTGCCCATGCTGAGCCACCCCTAGAGGTTCAGGTCACCAAGTCTTACCTTGAAACTGAGGCTTAACCTCCCAGGAGCAGGAGGCAAATCCACCGAACACGTGCTTGTCATGGTCCTCGAGGACAGCCACACAGGGCCCCCGGTGAGTGATGTGGCCACAGAGCTGGGAGAAGCTGTGTCCGTGGAGCTCGGATGCAAAGAGCAGGCGCCAGCGGTGCTGCTGCTCCCGAGGCAGGTGGGCATTGATGTACACGACAGAGAGGACGTCCAGGATGCTCTCAAAATGCCTGCCCTGGTCCACTTGACGCTCGGGAATCAGGGTAGTCAGATCAAGGGATGAGTTCAGGACGAGAAGACCCTTGCGAATGACCACACTCAGAAATGTGGCCACGTGGGGGACCCTGAACACCCAGTCCTCGATCACAGCTCGGTCACAGTCACAGTCCAGCCACCGGGGCCCCAGAAGCCTCTCGCCATCTAGGGGAAGGGGACAGTCAGCATGAGTGGGGCTGCTCCCGTATAGTTACTATCTAAACCCTCACTGACCAGTGTGGGAGTCGTGAGCCATGCACAACTACTGACCACAGAAAACGGGGCTCGTTTGAATTGAGATGTGCTCTAAGTGTAGAAGGGTCACCTGATTTCAAAGACTTGGTATGAAAAAAAGAATTTAAAGTAATCTCCATGTTTAAAAATTCATTACCTTTCAAAACTGTATTTAGGACGCATTAGACTCCCTTTCCCGTTTCTTTTACTCTTTTAATGTGGTTTCTAGAAAAGTGAAAATTTCACACAAGCCTTGCTTTATCCATTGGCCAGCACTGATCTAAACAATCTGACTTCAGCATTTTTCTCTGTTCTCCAAGCAGCATCTCAGAGGCCCTCGAGAGAGCAGTGCCCTGGCAATGGGGCTGGAATGGACACCCGAGCTATCCCTGGGGCCACTCATCAGCGGGTATCTGTCCTGCTGAGGCCACTGGAAGCGCACTGTTCCCAGCCAGTCAGGGGGCTGGCAGGCACTCACTGGGACTCCTGTAGTTTATCTGGGAAGAACAGGTCTCATTCACCACTAACCACGCTTCATCATGCAGCTCTTTGGAGCCTATTTTCCATCCCTCGCTCACTAAGAGTAGGGGTGACGGGTAAGAGCGTAGGAGCACACAGCCAGGATCCCAACAGCCTGGATGCACACCCAGGCTCAGGAACGGCATGACCTTGGCAAGGTCTTCGCCTCTCCGTGCCTCAGTTTCCTCAGGTGTAAAATGGAGGTAGGCCCAGAACCTGCCCCACGTTGTTATTCTAAGGACCAGAGGAGCTTTTCCATTTTCAGCTCTTGAGGACACAAGGTCTCCATTTATAGCTGTCAGAATTCCCAACCTAGGGGAAATCTGAATCTCAGCTGATACCACCTTTTGTCTAACCTAGGCCCATTTTACTAAGCAGGAAAGGTAAAACCACTTCCCAACTGATATTTTGAAACTCCTATTGTTTCTATTGATTTTTCAATCAGTTTCTTTTTTTTTTTTTGAGACGGAGTTTCACTCGTTACCCAGGCTGGAGTGCAATGGCGCGATCTCGGCTCACTGCAACCTCTGCCTCCTGGGTTCAGGCAATTCTCCTGCCTCAGCCTCCTTAGTAGCTGGGATTACAGGCACGCGCCACCATGCCCAGCTAATTTTTTGTATTTTTAGTAGAGATGGGGTTTCACCATGTTGACCAGGATGGTCTCGATCTCTTGACCTCGTGATCCACCCGCCTCGGCCTCCCAAAGTGCTGGGATTACAGGCATGAGCCATTTTTCATTACCTATATACTGCTGGAAATCTTAAGGATAATTTTAATCACCTGAATTAACTTTCTCTACTTCAATGACAACTTCAATTTCTATTTTCATTATTCTTCTTTAAAGCATACTAGACCGACGAACACTCTACCCATAGACGAATTACTGATACTGACTTTTAAAATTCCTTCCAAGTTCCAAATACCTCATCTGAATTAATTTCTGAAATATAAACTATTTTCAAGCTGTACTTTAAAATCTGGCATTAAAACAAAAGAGTAACACATTTATAAAGTCAGTCTGCTTTGCAAAGTGATTTGCCATAAGGATTTTTTTTAAATCCCAAGTAAATTTAAACATACACTGCTTCTCACCCACCAACGGCAGAATACACATGCTTCTCAAATGTGCTTTAAGCATTACCCAGAAGTGACCATATTAGAGGCCATAAGTGATGCATCAAGACATTTCAAATGACTGAAATCGTACATCATGAAATGAAATTAAAAATCATTTGCTAGAAGGCAATTTGAGGAATTCCCAGGCATGGAGAATTTAAATAACACACTTTTACACAGCCAATAGGCCAAAGGAAAAAATCCTAAGGGATGACAGAAAATATTGAGATCAATGAAAATAAAAATATAACCTTCCAAAACTTAACGGCATGCAGCTGAGGCAGCGCTGAAAGGGAAATGTGCAACTGCAGATGCTTATTTGAAAAAGAAGATCTCAAATCAATAACCTAACAGTCTACCTTAAACTAGAAAAAGACCAAACAAATTTAAAGCGAACAGAAGGAAGAAAATCAAAGCTAGGGCCAAACAAACCAGAAACTAGAAAGACAACAGAAAAAGTAATGAAACTAAAAACTGGCTCCTCGAAAAGAACCAACAAAAATATGAAAAACTTGGCTAGGGATGGTGGCTCACGCCTGTAATCCCAGCACTTTGGGAGGCCGAGGCAGGTGGACCACGAGGTCAAGAGATCGAGACCATCCTGGTCAACATGGTGAAACCCCGCCTCTACTAAAGATACAAAAAATTAGCTGGGCACGGTGGCGCGTGCCTGTAGTCCCAGCTACTCAGGAGGCTGAGGCAGGAGAATTGCCTGAACCCAGGAGGTGGAGGTTGTGGTGAGCCGAGATCGTGCCATTGCACTCCAGCCTGGGTAACAACAGCAAAACTCCGTCTCAAAAAAAAAAAAAGAAAAGAAAAAAGAAATATATATATATATGAAAAACTTTTAGCCAAACTCAGAGGAGAAAGGGACAAGACACAAATTATTCAAATCAGTAATGGAAGTGGGGACATCACTGCTGCTTTTGGGAAAATAAGGATTATTTTAAAATATGGCAACAAACTAGAAAACCGAGGAGGTTTGAGGGCTCACGGTTTCTGGTTTCAAAGCTTTACTACGCAGCTACAGTAACAGAGACAGCGGGTCCCACCCCACGGCAAAGGCCGAAGCCACCGAAGCCACCCACACTTGCCTTGTAGCTTCATCTCAGAGAGCAGCTGAGCAGCCAGCACCTGCACCCGTGGGGAGCGCCCTGGGGCTTCCTTCCCAGTCCAGCCTCTCAGCTCCTGTCTGTGGCTTAGCACGTGTACCACAGAGCCAACCAGATCCTCTGTAAACTTAAAATCACAATTTTACCATTAAAAGCAGTTTCACCATAACCTGAGACCTATGTCACATGCCCACGGAGAAGGGCAGTTTAATGCCAACTGTGATGAGCCACAGTGTGGGGAAAGGTCATGCAATGTAAGTAGCTATTCGGTTTTCTTTTCTGGGTTTTATTTTTTTTATTTATTTATTTTTGAGATGGAGTCTTCCTCTGTCGCCCAGGCTGGAGTGCAGTGGCGCGATCTCGGCTCACTGCAACCTCCACCTCCCGGGTTCAAGCAATTTCCTGCCTTAGCCTAAGTAGCTTGGATTATAGGCGCCAGCCACCACGCACGGCTATTTTTTGTATTTTCAGTAGAGATGGGCTTTCACCATCTTGGCCAGGCTGGTCTTGAACTCCTGACCTTGTGATTTACCTGCCTCAGCCTCCCAAAGTGCTGAGATTACAGTTGTGAGCCACTGCACCCAGCCGCTACTAATTTTTCTAATGATACACTCGGCTGGCCTAGAAGTTTTTCCAAAGCCTTCATCCAGCAGTTCTGACTTCAGCCCAATGGTACAGGGATTTAGGGCTCGCCAAGGATGGACACCTCCACGACGCCTGCTGTCTTCATTGCTCAAACCAACAGGGCGATTTGCTGAGGCCCAGGAGCTCCCCCTCCAGAAAATCCCTGATCTTCTCAAATTTGGTTGAGAGCTAAGGTGTATTCCGCTGTACGACTTTTTTCTGCAGTTTTGCTTGCTTCCAACGAGGAAGGCAAGTTTTCGTCTTCCATGAGGATAGAGGGCAGGCAACTGCTTTCTGGAGTTGGAGCTGGCTTCCAACAGGGAAGGGGAGTTGGAGATGTTCCGGCTTCTCAGATGGCAGAGGGCAGTCTCCAGCCTGGGCCCCACTCCTAGGAAAGTAGCTGAATGAGGCTTTGTCTTAAAAATTCTTGACAACTAAAACATAAGATTAACAAGCAACTGGTCTTACCTGCTCCTTACCATTACAGCACTCAGAAACTGTACAAACTGTGTGAGCATCTGTTTCTTTCGCTGTTTTGTTTATTTGCAGTCTCTGTTTTTGCCGTTTCTGTCTTTTCTCCATTTGGTTTAAACAACTCTACCTGACTTGGGCGAATACAAGGGAAAGTTCCAAATGACGGGGGAAAAAGGCCTCTGAATTGGCTAAATCCCCACAGCTGGGAAGAAAAAACAGAGGAAATAACAAGGCTACAAAAAGGAAAAAAGACGATGACTTCCTGAGGGACTTTATTTCCATAACCTTTGCTAGCCAAGCACCAACAGACAGACCCGTGGCGGCTGCTCAGTGGCCAGCTTTCTGCCCTTTTTTCACAACAGCCGGAGTTTGCTTCTTACATCAAATTCTTTCTGGTTTGACGTCTGCGTTACTTTTGAAATATGAGTCATTTGTCCCCGGTAAAATACGACAGTCAGATTTAAAATGATGGCTTTAAGAGCTCAAAGGTCAAAGTCAGCCCAATTAAAAGCTAGGATCTAAGATATGTGTATGCGTACTTATACTTAAAGGGACATAATGCTTTCTTCTCTCCTTGGGTCTTGTTTTTTGAGAAAAGAAAAAAAAAAATCTGTTTCCCTCTCAGTCAAATGAATTGTCTTCTCCATTTACGACTGCAGGTCTCTCAGTCCTCTTGCCACCCCCGCTGTATGAAGCACCTAAAATAACTTCTAACGGCCTGGCATTCCTTGAAGAAAACAGAGAAGGCGTCAGACTCCTTTATTCTTTTCTCTTTTTAGATGGAGTTTTGTTCTTGCCCAAGCCGGAGTGCAACGTGTGATCTCAGCTCACTGCAACCTCCGCCTCCCAGGTTCCAGCAATGATCTTGCCTCAGCCTCCCAAGTAGCTGGGATTACAGGCATGTGCCACCACACCCGGCTAATTTTTTTATTTTTAGTAGAAACGGGGTTTCACCATGTTAGCCCGGCTGGTCTCGAACTCCTGGCCTCAGGTGATCCACCCACCCCGACTTCCCAAAGTACTAGGCTTACAGGTGTGAGTCACTGCACCCGGCCCCAGACTTCTTTTTGAGAGAAATTTGTTTTTCTTTATGGAAACTGGAAAGTATCAACAGACCAGTTCCTCTCAGATCTTAAACTGCTTGCTTTTGTACTGTTACCTGATTTTTCTTTTGGTCTAAAATAGTTATTACTACTTGGGCTACTCCTTAATAAAACCAAAAGTTGGTTCATTGAAAAGATCAACAAAAATCTGAAAAAACCTTTAGCTAGACTAAAAGAAAAAATTATTGAAATCAGAAATGGAAATGGGGGGCTGGGCACAGTGGTTCACTTTAGGAGGCCAAGGCAGGTAGATCACTTGAGGTCAGGAGTTCAAGACCAGCCTGGCCAATGTGCTTTCGAAAGCCTGTCTCTCCTAAAAATATAAAAATTAACTTTGGGAGGCCAAGGTGGGAGGATCGCTTGAGGTCAGGAGACTGCGACTAGCCTGGCCAACATGAGAACCCATCCCTACTAAAAGTACAAAAATTAGCCAGGTGTGGTGGTGTGCAACTGTAATCCCACCTACTTGGGATGCTGAAGCGGGAGAATTGTTTGAGCCTGGGAGGTAGAAGTTGCAGTAAGCAGAGATCACTGTACTCCAGCCTGGGCAACAGAGTGAGACCGTGTCTTAAAATATATATATATATGTTAATCAATTAATTAATTAAATATATACTGATATTAGCCAGGTGTGGTGGCGGGCAACTGTAATACCAGCTACTCAGGAGGCTAAGGCAGGAGAATCACTTGAACCCGGGAGGCGGAAATTGCAGTGAGCCAAGATTGTGCCACTGCACTCCTTCCTAGGTAACAGAGTAAGACTCTGTCTCAAAAACAAAAACAAAAACAAAACAAAAAAACAAAGAAAGAAAAGAAAGGTGGGGCCAGGCGCAGTGGCTCACACCAGTAATCCTAACACTTTGGGAGGCCAAGGCAGATGGATTGCCTGAGCTCAGGAGTTCAAGACCAGCCTGGCCAACATGATGAAACCTCGTCTCTACTAAAAATACAAAAAGTTAGCCGGGTGTGGAGGCACACACCTGCAGTCCCAGCTACTCAAGAGAATAGCTTGACCCAGGGAGGTGGAGGCTGTCGATCACATCACTACACTCCACCCTGGGCGACAGAGCAAAGCTCTGTCTCAAAAAAAAAAGAAAGAAAAGAAAAAGAAATTGAAGTGGGGACCTCATTACTGCTTTTGGGAAAATAAGGACTATTTTTATTTTTAAATAAACCAACAAACTAGATAGAAGAAGGTTCATGGGCTCACCCTTTCTGGTTTCAAAGCTTAACTACACAGCCACAGCAATGCAGACAGCAGGTGCCACGCTACACACGGAGTCTACACCGCCGAGTCCACGCACACTTGCCGTGCAGCTGCATCTCAGAGAGCAGCTGGACAGCAGCACCTTGCCCATTTCAGATAAAAAGGGTGCAGCTTGAATACTTACAGAAATGTCTTCATTACAAAATGCACTGTAAATGCATCACGTGGCCCAGTCCTTTGATGAGACCCAGGATTCAATGTGGGCTCCTCCCAGAGTTCCAAGGCCCAGTTAAAAGACAGAGACTAAATTGAAAACCACCTATCTAAATAAAATTGATCTCCTTATAAAAGCCTATGGTAGATTTCTATAAAATGGTTTGGCATCCATTTTAAGTATCCTTCTAACACACTGACACATACGGTCTTTCTCTGCTTTGGATGTAAATTTCACTATCCGACTTTCACCTGAGTTCCTCCTGTAATGTGCAAATTTAGGGCTATCTAGCTGTCAACTGCCTGGAATCATGAAGCAGGTTATCAAGACACTGGAAGTTTCAAATAGAAAAAAAATACAAGGGGTCCTTGTAAATACATAAGATCTACTTCTATCTGTGTATCTAATACATTTATATGTGGTATATACAATGTGCTCTAATTAATTGGCTTAAAGAAAAAGGGAAAAACACTTAAATACTTTATCAGAAAAATAGAAACTTTAAGCCCAAATGCCTTTTCAAGTTCACATGACTTCAGTGAATCTTTTTTTTGAAAGCAAGTGTCATTCTTGTTGCCCAGACTGGAGTACAATGGCACGGTCTCGGTTCAGTGCAACTGCCACCTCTCATGTTCAAGCAATTCCCCTGCCTCAGCCTCCTGCGTAGCTGGGATTACAAGTGTGTGCCACCATACCCAGCTAATTTTTGTAGTTTTAATAGAGACAGGGTTTCACCATGTTGGCCAGGCTGGTCTCGAACTCCTGGCCTCAGGTGATCCACCTGCCTCAGCTTCTCAAAGCATTGGGATTACAGGCACAACCCACCACACCCGGCCATAATTTCAGTGAATCTTAATAAGTTGGTTTTTAAATTATTGGTAAAATAAAATAAGAAATGTCTTTAGAACAGCCAATATATATTATTGTTTACATTTGTTGGTCAAGCATTTTAGACTTACCTTGCTAGACATTAGAATATGTCAGAATTTGGCATGAAGGTTATAAAGCTATAAATGAAGCCCAAAAGAATTATCTCTGTGTAATTTTTTAATAAATAAGGCATTTAATATTGTTGGTTTAATAAAAATAGCTAAATCCTAACTTATCGGCAAAACAAAGCATGCACCGTTTTTTAGCCTTAAATAAATGTTCTTAATGGTTCTTACTTAGACAAACAACTGAAATTTATAGGCTATAAAAATCCTTAACAGGTCATCTCCTTGGGAGGTAACATAAAACAAAATGGTTAACAGGGAAATAACCGTAAATGATGACTATCATCATTTTCATAAGTACTCTAGGTAAACTATTTTTAAAAATCAGGTAAATGGAGTGAATGCTTGTAAACAAACTTGTCACATAGAGTCTAAACTTACATCGAATAAAATAATATTCGTTAATGTTGATCATTTCTAAATTTTTTAAAGAAATTATTCAAAAATTTTTTCCTAAAAGATGTGTTCTTGGCCAGGTGCAGTGGCTCACACCTGTAATCCCAGCACTTT